GACCAACGAGAGACCAGAGATGCACAACTTGTGCTGTGTGTGTCTAGAGGTTTTTTTTTTTTTAGTCCGTCGACCCGCTGGTATTACCTCTGGTAGCAACAATAGCAGACACAACACGGTAACACGCTAACATGCTAACTCGCTGGCCAGTGAGCGGCGAACATCGGGTAGCCGGCGGTCCTTTTCGGGGTCAATAAATTAAGTTGAAAAAGCAATACCGTTGGATACTGGGATACCGTCAGAATCTTTCTAAATGCTGTGATATGGATTTTTGGCCATACTGCACAGCCCTAAACTAATGTATGTCTGGTACTTCACAACACAAAAACAAAAAACACCAAGTGCATAAACCGCAATGCTAATTGAATAGATGAACCTTTCTGACAATAAGCGTTTTACACACGGCAATCCTTAAAAACACATTAACACTTTTACAGCTGTAATATATTTCACAAAATACTTTTTTATTTCCTAAGAACCTAGCTGGATGAGTCTATAGCCGTCAGCTGCGGAGATCTGAAAATACTTTCAGCTCACTTTGGGCCATCGATGACCTTTTCAAACGTGTGTAATCTAGCTGTGCACGAAGACACCACCACCAGGGCCCTTTATGTGTCGGCTTCATGATGAGGTTTACTGTGCCCTCACTGCCAGTGCGGAGGGCAAGCTGGAGGCATTTGACATTTGGTTGTATCTTAATCCCCTTTCCAAATGCACACTATGGACCTCTGGCTTTTGTCTCCTGGAGGAAAGGTCCCAATCGGTACTCAGGAATCAGGAATCAGGAAACATTTATTAGCCAAAATATGTCAAACATACAAGGAATTTGTCTTGGCGGTTAGTGCGCGACAGTAGACAGACAAGACAACAGTGCACAAGTAATAAAATAAAGTGGAATGGAATGCTAATGCAATGGGTTAGTAGAATAAGGCTAAGGCTATGGGTTAGTATAAAACAAGGGAATAAAGTTAAAAAAAATTAAATATTAAAAAGTTAAAAAGAAAAATATTAAGCATAAAGTGCACTAACAAACAAGTAACAGACAACAGACAAAGTGACAAGTGACAAAGTGATGAATTGCAGTTAAAGTGGCATGTGCAGTATGAGGGGGAGTGACCGGTGGAGTGTTATAGTCAGGCAGTGGGGGACCGGGCTCTGTTGATGAGCCCGACTGCCGACGGGAAGAAACTGTTCGTGTGGCGGGAGGTCGTGGTCCTGATGGACCTCAGCCTCCTGCCAGATGGAAGGGGCACAAACAGTTTTTGTCCGGGGTGGGAGGGGTCGGCCGCAATCTTTTTAGCTCGCTTCAGAGACCTGGAAGCGAACAAGTCCTGCAGGGACGGCAGATTGCAGCCGATCACCCTCTCTGCAGAGCGGATGACACGCTGCAGCCTGCCCTTGTCCTTGGCTGTGGCTGCAGCGTACCAGACGGTGATGGAGGAGCAGAGGATGGACTCGATGATGGCCGTGTAGAAGTGGACCATCATCGTCTTTGGCAGGTTGAGTTTCTTCAGCTGCCTCAGGAAGAACAACCTCTGCTGAGCCTTCTTGGTGATGGAGCTGATGTTCAGCTCCCACTTGAGGTCCTGGGTGATGATGGAGCCCAGGAAACGGAAGGAATCCACAATAGTGACGGGGGAGTCACACAGGGTGATGGGGGAGGGTGGGGCTCTGTTCCGCCGGAAATCCACAACCATCTCCACTGTCTTTAGAGCGTTGAGCTCCAGGTTGTTCTGGCTGCACCACGACACCAGATGGTCAGACTCCCACCTGTAGGCGGACTCGTCCCCACCAGAGATTAGTCCAATACTCAGTTCCGCTCCGATCATTAGTGATCAAAAAATGCCCCCTGGGTATGGCAACTTTCTTCAATTATATGTGACCCGCATCCAAATCCATAGAAAATAAACCAAATCAACAAGAATTTCTACAACTAAATAGAATTTATTAATTTACAAAACACAATGCGGCTCACTCAGACTCCACACAGACCACAGTGATTTGACTTGGTCGGCTGATCAAACTCCAAAGAAACCAAATACTACTCATCCACTGTTCCAACATGACCAACTCTGCATGGATGGAGACAGGTATAACAGGTTGTAAAACTTTCTCTTTTTGTTAACTCCGCTTCGGTGCAGGTCGTCCTGTGCGTCAAATCCGACACATGTATTTGTTTTAAGAGCATTAAAGATAACACTCCCTGAAGATAATTGTTGTCCTTACTGGAGTAAGAACACACTTCCCATCAGAAGAAGCTGGAGCTGGATTATCTAAAATCTTGCTAAAGCTAAGTGCTACATTTCGGAAAAGTGTGGGCACCCAGGGTGAAAAGGTTGTCTTTGTAATTTATTGAGCTACCCAGAAAATCCCCCCAGTATTTATCTCAGGTTTATTTGTCCTTCCTGGACATATGGGTAGAATAGGTTCAATGTGATGGAGGCATCTTAAAATGTTCAATGCAATGCAACAAATGAAAATGACTATATTAAAGAGTAGTTCATTTCTTAATTTGTAATTACATAATCAATTGATATACATTCTTCAAATACACATATGATGCATCTATATATTTAGAAAACACAACCTTACATAGCAAACAGGTACTTTCAGCTGACCCCTTTTATCATTTCATCTTGATGCTGGCAGCACAGTGAGACACGTGCACGCTGATCAGATACATGACACGCAACTAGTATTTGTTGACTTGTTGTTCAGCACATTGTGTAGCACCACAACGCTGGGAGGGTCCAACTGAATCCACACTCCCCAGGAGGGTTAGTGCCATGGCTGCATCTCCACCACACCCAGAAAGACAGACGACCTCCGCCACATTTGAATGCTTTTCTCCAGGGGAACAAATGAAGTACCCACTTGCTAGTTAGAGCAGCCAAGTGGAAATATTAAAGTAATATTTCAAATGGGGCGAAAACGTTTTTATTTTCAGCGTATATTCCCTAAAGGATCCAGGGAACAGTACTTCTCCATTTGCACAATGGGAATGTTGACATGGAGATATTACATCTAATGGGGAAACATTCAATAGATGTTCTCTTCTCTTGGTAATTTGTAGGAGATGATACGGAGAGTAGGTCATCCAGGGCTGAGGATCTAGGCATAAAAATAAGAAAAGAAAGGTCCTATTCAGAGTCTCATTGCTTCCTGTGTGAGGAGCAAAGACAATAGCAGAAGCTAGAATTGATTTCTAACAAAACCTTTTGTGTAAGTTCTTCATAGCAGCCTAACATCAGACTACAACCTGTTTACAACAGAAAAGCATTTTGCTTTCTCTCCCAACTCGCATTTGCAAGTGCCTGCATCATTTCAATCTAGCATCAAGTGTTTGATTGTTCGAAGTTTATAGCAAAGCAACAGAAGAGACCAAGGTTTTGTATTATTAACTAAAATGGATTTCAGTTGGTGTTCTGGCAGCCGATGAAGCAGATCATACTGCCACATGAGTTTGTGGTCCACTCTGAAGAAGGCCATCTGACAGGGTTTATTGAGCAGCTTGCCGAAGGTGATGAAGTTGTCTTGAGACAGCTGGCTGACGGCTCTGTTCATATTATGAGTCTACTGTTCCACATCCTTTTCTAGATTAATAACTAATGGACACTTTTATAACATACGTTTTCAACAGCTATGTTTGTATTTCTACCGTAGATCATTGGACATTTTTCTATTTCTAAATGACATCTTGATTATGGATTCATGCGATAACGTGCCAACGTGTTAACATGGCCCAATTAAACGGTTCTGATTCGGAAAGGAAGTGTTCAAGGGGAACCTGACAAACAAGTTGGAATCCTCATTTCCCGCCAGCTGCAGCGTACGAAAACAACAAGGGGCACCTGTCTGCCGTGTGAGTCAGCAGCCGCCATGTTGTCACAGCCTCCACCCGATCAATACCTTTGGCTGAGAGCTTGTCAGTAATACATGAAGTACTCCACATAATAATGAGGCCTTTATTTATTACTTTTTTTGCTCCTTTATTATTTTTCTCTGATCTCAATTTACACTGCAATATACACAATTCATAAACAGAAACCAACCATCCGCAGATGAAGGACCCCCTTCTTACACCGTTGTTTTGTTCATTCATCTTGAGGTCATATTAGTGTGGAGGACTCAAAACAACAAATACTTTTCCTCTCACAGACCTGTTGTTCCATGATGCTCACAACTGTTCTGTAGCCGTCTAGGAAGGAGAATCTTTATTAGAACTTGAATAATGTGCTTCACCTTCATGAGAAGTCTCGTATAGATCACAGCGGAGGACAGACTGCACATACTGCTGTGTTTGCTAATTGTGCAGGGCAGGAGAGCCACTGAGGAGACCGCATCGTATCCTTCATTATCTAGGTAGCAATTTCAACCCGGCAGTAAATGCACGTAAAGATAGTTTTACCAGATTTCTATTCAAAGTCGCTCAGAAATCTGTCAGCTTTTACAGATGCTATGATATTTTCTCAATTTGTTCCGGGCTTATGCTGCCGGTGCTGCTGACCATATCGATCCACCGTGAAGCCGAGGTTAAGGTCTCGCCTCCGCTGATTACTAGGTGGAAACTCCACATCGGACTTGTTTTCATGTTTGACATTTGCCTCTGTCAATGTAATGACACGCTCAATAGTGGCCTTGAGATCTTCCCCATATTACTTTCCGATTTTTGTATTTTTAACTGCTGTGTTGAAATCCATTTTCTCTTCAGCTGCCTGACAGCTTCTCCTTCTGGCGAATCACCCGGCTGTACGATTCAGCCGTAAAAATGACAAAATGGGAAACCCTGGCGGCTGATACCGAACGCTGATCCCATAGTAGTGTTTAGATAATAACCTGTGTGTCTCAATATGTGGAAGTGAATGGGAGCATTCGTTTATGCCTATAAACCATCTTCCTCGTGGGGTCAACATGGGGAATACAGTATTTATAAGGGTTTAAGTATCAGTTTTCTATTCAACATTTAATGAAAGAAGCTTAGTAAGAACATGCGGCCACGCTTTATTAGCAAAACAGTCTTTTATTAGAAATATCTTGTATAAAAATGAACATGCTTTACACATTGTAATTTTTTTCTATAGATAATTCATAAATATCCAGGCACTGTATTTCTTTTTTTATCTTTCTTTTTTTTTATAATTCAGTACATAAAGCAGACAGGATCGATCCATTTTAATAACGTACATTAACTTGTCACTTAATTTCAGTCAGCACTTACATATTCTATTTTTGTAACACAGACAAAGTGTTTTAGAAAAATAAAGGGGAGGTAGGGGGGTTTGTGGCAAAAAAGCAGAAAATGATCATATTCACAAACACAAACAATCCCACAAACAATACTTTTTTACGTTTTTCATGAGAAAACAACATTTGCGGCAACACCGTAGACTTTAGTTGAAGCTGAGAGAATCATTGATTAAAACCAAGGTATCAGTTATTTAGAATCCTCTGCAGTAGTTTTCCTTCTGGAAATTACACCTTTTCTCTCAAATTGTTCACATGACTTGTTTATGAGCTTTGACATGCAACATACATATTTTTGCATTGCTGAGGATAACATTTAATGAAAGAGTCACTTTTAATGACAAATACGTCAGACCTGGGACAGTAATGGAATTTGTATGAATAGTACATTGAGTCCGCTCCTGTTTCAACAAAAAAGGAAAGGTACCGGACGCTACACAAAGGTCACCGTGAAGAATGGAAACCAGGCCCACAACCAAGCAGCTGTACCTCCCCACTTTCCCTCCAACGAGAGCTTCTCAATATTATGCGTGTCGGACAGAATTATTTTTATTTGAAAGTCATTTAAAGACGGAATCAATCTATAAACTGCATAGAGCTGTATCAGCCACCCTGTCACTCATTGCCGGCTTTTCATGTTTTTAATTTGACATTCAGCAAAATATGACTCCTTAGGATTGTGGGGGATAATTTAAGTGGGCTAGTGTCACCCCCAAAATGGTCAAAAGGTGAAAAGTAAGAAGGTCAATCTTCATCCACCTAATGATCTCTGAACATTTCAAAGGTCTGCGTGGTCTTCATGCTGAGTAAATGCATGAGCCTAATTGTGTCCTCAAAATACCATTAAATCTCTCATTAGCAATTTCCTCTGTGGGCCTGAAATTCATGACCCAGAAAGGGAATACAATCCTTTGCATCTATCAGTGATCGTAAGAGGTCCCCATGTAATACTGGCCTAGGCAACCCATCGTACTGTACTGTATATATTTGGAACGACACCACACTGATGTGTGTGGTTTTTTTTCTTTAAGTGACATAATATAGTTATTCTAGCTCGAACGCTGTAAAACAATTTATACCGTATACCTTGAAACATTGAAAAACACCAATATAGTTAAAACAGGATAACACGGAAATATGAGTTTCTGTAATTTATTGGCGGGAATGCTTAATACAAATGTGTTTATATGTCGAGACGTCTACAAAAAGTTGAACAAATATGAAATACAAATCCTCACAATCTTTCAACTGCTTGAATTGGCAAAGGCTTCGAGAAGCGCATGATGAATAAAGGCCAGTGAATGTGGGATGTTTGAAGTATGCATCAACACGTCTTCATGTCCGGGTGGACTTTAAAAGGAGCGCGGAGTAAACCACGAAGGTATCCTACGGCAGTGTGCCTTTCCATCCGCCTCCTGCTTGTCTTTTTGAAGTGACTCTTTGGCCAGCAGAGGCTAACCCGGCGGCTAACGGCCTCCACCGTGAGTGGCGACCATGACGAATGTTGCATTCCAAAAGACGTTGACAACACAGCACAGTACACGTGATGCTCCCACAAGCATGCTCTGGGACTGTACATTAGGTTTGCCAAGATGATGGCATCATCATCATTTTCTTGAAACATTTATCCCAAAAATACAAACAAACAAACCAATTGGATGACCCACTGCTTTTATTTTCCAGGTGTTTCACATCTGGTTGGTTCATGGAGGGATGCTGGATGTGCTGTAGTAAGGCATGTACAGTTAGAGAACTGCAGCATCCATGCCCAACAATATCAGTAACCAAAAATAATAATTACTTTATTTATACCGTTTCATGTTCTGGACTGCATTGGACTTGAGCTAGAACCCCCCCCCCCCCCTTCTATTTTTTATATATAGAAATGAGACACAAAGATTCTGCCTCAGATCAGAACTGAAACTCTGTGTTTTACACTTCAGAAGGAAAACGGTTCACTCAGCCCGCATCTGGAGACGTCACTTCTCAGCGCTCACACCTTCGCCCTTAAGGGGGGGGAGGGAAAATAACCTATTTTTCCATCCCCCTCCTGCAACTACTACACATTTGTCATGAACTTTCCATTCAAGCCTTTACCTGATTCTCTAGAAAAATATGACCTCCATTCTGATTGACAAATTCTTTTCTTTCCAACAACCCCCCCCAACACTCCCTCCCCCTCTCAGTCCTTCTGTAGCAATCAAGTCCTCCAGCCTTTCCCGCAGCATTCCCCAGAATCAGGTGATTACTCCTCAGACTCGACCCGGCTCGGCTTCCTCTGTTGGTCCCTGGCTTAGGTGGCGTGGTTACTGTAGCTTATGTATGTCTGCTTGGAAGCCAGCCCTGAAAGCGGAGGAGGGAGGAGAGGGTTAAAAACACAGTGGGTGACGTTCACAAAGCCGTGCGGCGGTAAACTGTCAGTGTTGGCGTCCAGATTGATGGAACGCTCTATTCACGGATCGCTTCCTCAAATGAGTGGAACAGATTGTAATAGCAGGGAATTTCTAATGGGAAGGCTGCGTTTACAGCGGTGATGCATTGAAACAAAACTGGAAAAGAGAATTGTGTTCCAACTGGACTGATTTAGAGCAAACTCTTACAACCATACAAAATAATAGTTCAAATAAATCTTCCCATTTAAGAAGCCTGAATCTTGAATATTTAGGATTTGTTTTGGGGCAAAAAGGCCTGAAACGATGAATGAGTAATCAGAATAGTTACTTGTTAATGAAAAATAAAGCAATCCAATGTTTTAGCCCAAAAATAGATGCTTGGTTGAAATTGAACTATCGGTTATTGGACAAGCTATCATTGGAGTCATGTCACGTGAGGTGTTTGTTGAGACCGTGATGCAGATGGAGTACGACTCACGTGCTCATCTCATTGTCAGCTGCTACAGTTAATGAAATTAGGGAACCCACTTTTATAATGTATCCTCACAGCTACAGACGTAGTTGGCCCAAAAATGCATCATTTAACTCATGCAAATACCCAAGGAGTCTTTGTGCACCAAGCAAGGCATGCAGCAGTCCGTGAATGACGGTAACGTTTAGAACCCTAAAGCCTATTGGACAATATGGGACCTGACGTGAGCCTTTTCATCATGTTTGACAGCGGTGCTCATTGGTCTTTAACATTCCTGTTTTACAGAATCTGATCAGCTGTGAAAACGCATAAGACCGATGACCAGAGGGCAGAACACAGTGAACGTAGCAACACCGTCACTTTGTGTGTGTGTGTGTGCCTTTCCACTGCTGTGCCATTTCTTCATTCATTTGAATAAGACTGTCGTCAGCGAGCATGCTCGGCGTGGTGGTAATCACAGTGCCAATCCGCCAATCTGTCCACAGAAGCTCAGGCTGATTGAATATGTCAGAGGGGATGGATCCAATCAGAGCCCGAGTCGGGCCAAAAAGTGCTGCAGACGAGAGACGTGATGGTAAATGTTTACCTATATTTTCCCGTGCAACGTTGGGTGAATGGAGGAGGGGCGAGTATGGGGGGGGTACTCTCCCGCCATTTCACCCAAAGCATCTCTTCCAAGAGAAGCAGTGATAAATGGACCTTATTTGAATATTTATGTGCTGCAAGGCCAAGATAAAGAATAGATGGCCCAGAAAGAATTGGAGCTGGCAGACCGATCAGTCTTTTCCCGTCGCCGCGTATTGTTGTTTTCCCGTTACCGCAAATTCCTTCTTTTATCAACAGGGGGGGGGGGGGACAAATTTCTGGCGACACATGGCTATCGCTTGTCTCCTTCACTTAGACGGAGTGGTGTCATCTGCCCACATTAACAGACCTCACCTCGCTGATTTGCCATTTCACAGCACCGGGGTCAGCCAATATTGCCTCCCCAGGTTAATGTGTGTTGGTTAAGGGTGCATTTGCTGGGGTGTGATTACGGCCTCGTGACATTCATGATGCTGGGTTTTAGATACTTTGTGCGTAGAATAGGCAGGCAGGGGTGTTGTGCTGAACATTAGCAGAAAGTAACACGGAACAAAGTGGTCACAGATAAAATAAGAAAAGGAAAAGGGCAAAGTCATTGTCTGATCAGGTTACCTGAGAGGCTAAAGTCCCCCACAAGGCTCCCCTCCCTCAAAACAGTCTGACGCATAAGCAAAAAGAGCAGTTGTTAGATTCACAGTTCATATCAGAGGGCGAGATCCGCACCTTTAAATGGGCTCTATAATCGGATGAGGCATAACGACTCTATTCTGAGGTTGGGAAAAAAAGGCATTCATTCAAGTGTGGGCTCAGGCCTTTTGTCTATTACACTTCCTTCTACACTGTTCAGCCTGATGGAGTGTAGAATCAGGACTTCAGTAATCAGAGCATGTGCTGTTACTTGATTGGATGTAACAATGCCCCCCACACAGGGACCGCAGGCTCACACCAGCGTATCCTGGTGATTGAAATGGCCTTTTTCCCCCCAAAACTGAGCGACTCGTCCCCTTAGTTCCGTTTGAAAGATCAGAATCGTGTGAGCACACTGTTGCACCTCCTGATTCAAAAATCCAGTGTGGTATGAGTTTCGGAGAATGGTACTAGGTTATGCAGCTGCAGATCCAAATACATGGATTATCCTGGTGGAACAGTAAAGTCACTTCCTTCGTCATATACCGTGGGCGGCCATGGGGCTTAGTCGATAAGTCAACTGATTGGTCGTTTTGCTCTTAGTTTGCTCAGAATTGTTTGGGCGATCATTCATTTTCCTCATGTCTTATTTACAGGAGACCTATGAGCTCATCACTGGAAAACAGAGATACTAAATTGAAAAACTAATTGACAAATTCATGTTTTCAGTGTTGGTCTACGAGCTTTGGTCGAGGTCAGCCCTACTATGCACACGATTACACCAGAAAGTATGATGTATAATACCAATCACATTTACATGGCGACGCTCCTCTCTTGCATGCTCATAAGAAATGCTCATCTCCTGAACTGCTAAAGTAAAGAACTGCTAAACACTTGCATCACTTATAAGAAGTTATTTTCAAGTCACTCTTTTACTACTTTTTCCGTGAGTCAGCATAAAATCTGCTCCCGCTCCTTGATGACATTTATTTCTTTGTTCCTCCTTTCGCCCCCTCAGGCGCCATACCAACCTTGCGTTTCGAGGCTTTCACACAGTTCAGACTTGGCCTCCCCGTTGGGCCTCAGGCCGCCTTTTGGGTTGAACTTGTTGGACATGGTGGCCGCGGTGACCACCGCCTTCAGGCTGCGCTTTCGCTTTGGAACGTTCTGCTCCGGGTGGAACAGAACCACGTACACCTTGGGCATGTAGAGCATTCCCAGGGAGACCGACGCGCTGAGGCTCACGGAGATGGTCAGGGTCGTGGTCTGGATGTACATCTGTAATCATGGAAGAGACACAAGCAGACACATTCATTCGCTGAGGCCCCGGCGACTGGTGCCAGAATATGGAGTTGAGTCTCTCTGGAGGGCCGCCGCGGCTCGAATAAGTCCATCAAGGAAAATCTAATTCACATCTTTTATTCGGAGAGACAATTTTCTAATAAAGCTGCAGGAAGAATAATGGTTTGTGGGCCGTGTGATGGCCAGGGATGTATTGCTTTCAGGATACTTTAATATTGCCATAAGGACAATCACCGACTCACACAAGTAATATATGAATAGTAGGTGGTAACATTTTCATGTAAATCACAGCTTTGCATGGAGGAGAATCAGAGGGCCTTTGATTCATATTTCTTTATTTCAGACGCTGGGTTCATCACCCTGCTTTCATTGACGTGTTTGCTTATTTATGATACATAACTAATAGAAGTGCCCTCCCGATAGGTGTCTGAGCAGTCTGCGTATAGATGATTTTACACAACAGCGTTAAGAATTGTGTGTTTTCTGAAGCCAGTCACAGCTGCAGCTCTCAGCTGGGTAGAAGATCCAAGGCTGCAGGCAACCGGCAAGGAGCAACATCCTACATATGATATGATAATCAGCCTGGAGCTCAGACACAGGCCCGTCTCTGGCGTGTTGACGTTGGTAAAGTGACGAGTCAGCAGATTTGATATTGACACATTCACTTCTCGATTAAAAGCGAACGGTACAAAAATCCTCAACGTAATCCCTTCATTGTCTCGCTCAGTCGTTGACTGGCCCCCACACCCCCGTGATACGATGGTGGGGCGTCCTGTGAAGTTGATGAACACGAGGCGAGGAGTGTACAGTGTGAACGCAGCTGGCAGACATCCTTCAGAGAGATGTGCCTGAGGTTCGGTCTGACATTGCATTTGCACACATCACAAATGACGGAGTCTTTTGGCATGAGAAAAGCCCGCAGGGGGTCCAACCACCAGCGCGTCACCAGTGTGGGGTCATGACTTAATGTGTTTGTGTATGAGCTTGTACAACATTTATCCTCACATTTCAAGATGCTGGCCATTATTTGTTTATTTTTATCAAACCGCACATCCATCTGGAGTGTCTGTTAGGTAGTCATTAGTTTGTTTTCTTCACCTTATAAGGACACTCAGGTTTAGGAGGAAAGCAAAAGATGTACAATATAGAATAAGTAGCATGATTTGTTGCCCACTGATGATGATACATATATGTGAATTTAATGAGGTTCCATAAAGCCATGTCAGTTGCGAAAAGAAAGCTGTCCGTGCTAAATGGAAGTGATGCATTGGGCATTTTCTTCCATCATACTGCAGTGCTAGCAGTCCTCCTAGGGAGGGTGCGTTCTAGGTGTGTGGGGGGGTGGTTGTAATCTCCTGAGAAGATTACACGTGGCCTGTGGTGGGTTCGGAACAATATTGCTGCCCCTCTGGAGAGCAGAGTGGAGTCACTCTGTGAGGAGAGCCGAGACCCCTGTCCACTTCCATCGGCCCTGGTGACATAAATTTTCTCCGACACGCCGGTATGATTGCCAATCCGCTCCATCGGTGCAGCGGGGGGGACGGAACCCTCACAGGGCTCAGCCATTATGAAGCTTCTCCGACGCAGGATTGCTCCTTTTACGTCACCAAGCATCAAATCCCTTGTCCTGATAGCTGTCCCCAAATGTCACCACGGAAACACGCAAACGGAACACAATTCCAAATATTTGGACTTTAGTTTTCTCAATATAAACAAATAAAGGCAAACCCGTTTTATCGCAAGGTTGTGTGTTATTAGTCGTGAGTTGTGTTTTAAGAATGCCGTACAAAATTATAAATAGGCTACATGCCATCTAATGAAAGTTTGCAGGTCCTTGTATGATCCTGAGGTATTTCTTGTAACCGTTTGAGTGTTAGTGTTCTTTTACCGATTGTACTGTCTCACGCTGCTCTGCAGGTTAATAAGAATGTCCTCCTCTGTGACGAGTCTTTGATTTGTTTTAGCGCCCATTGGACTGGACGTCAAAGTCGTTGGACAGTACAGGATTTCTCTGCTCAGTTTGTCCACCTGTTCTTCAACGGTGGAGCTACGCGTGAGGCCGAGCGTTTTTTTGTGTTCTGCTGCCTTTTTTTTTTGTTGATTAGCTTTTGTTGGCTGCGATGTGGGGAAAACTGTGTGCCTCACAGCCTGTTGATGCTGAAGGGCCTCTGCCACATCTACAGACAACACAGCAGGCTCAGAGGGTCTAATGGATTCTGCCACAAGCTCATTCCAAATAAATTATGTGTCTTCGTTAATGCTGAGTTTTGAGTTGCTGGGTTGCGTTCAATATTTCACCATATTCACCGAGTGAAGAGGAAACTTAAAAACACAACTCCCATCTTGTATCATCCTCTGTGATTACATTTTCTTCTTGTTACTTGGCAGGCTGATACTGCAAGTAAGTGAAGATGTAATGATGTCACTTACTTGATACTGCAAGTAAGTGACGGTTCTTAATGACACTTTCCAATTATAATTAGCGTTGGTTTTATCAAAGGTTGTTGTTGGGCTGCTGTACATTTAGTACAAAACAATCATTTGTAAGACCTTGATGTTTTGTAGTCTAATTTTTAATGTTCTCCTTCAAACTGAGAAGAATGTCTTTACCAGATCAAAATGTCCACGTGCACCTTTTCTCTTTTTTACTTTGTTGCCTTCTGACAAACTCTTTTAACTCGTCCGCAGCATGAACGATTCTATTTTAAGTTTATTATGCAGGGCCAACCCGTAGAATTCCCACTCGCAGGCCTCAGTTTGACTTTTCCTCCGGCTCCTTTCTCAATGCCACTTCCCAAACCGGTGTCACGTCTCTGTGACTCAGTGACTCCTCGGTATTCCCACCTGGCAAAGCTGACTCCCAACGCGCACACAACTGCAATCAAAGAAAACGCATCCGAGCAAACCTGAGGCGAATGAATTATCCTCGAGGCGGCTCTAAAAAACTTGTAATCCCCACGACGGCGCACAAAGCCCCTCAGGCCGACGCTGGACCGCAAACCTAATTTGAGTGGCCATTTTGCTCTCAATGAGGCACATTGGAAATATAAAAGAACTCTAAATGGGAAAAACCGACGACCAACGCGCACAAGTGGATTAAATTGACCTGCTGGCGGCGTGTTCCAATTGATGAAAGATAAGTGACCGCACTGGCGTCTGTACGAATTCAATAGATGTCGTTTGTAAAATGAGGCCAAACCTCCACCACATTCCAAATAATCACCTTTTCTGCCGATTGCGAGGTCCCGAAGAAGATTGGGATGAATGCGAGCCACACAATGCAAGTGGTGTACATGGTGAAGCCGATGGGCTTTGCCTCGTTGAACGTCTCGGGGACCCCCCTGGTCTTGATGGCGTAAACGGTGCAGGTGACCATCAGCAGCATGCTGAAACCCAGGAGGCAGATGAGGGAGAGGTCCGATATGTCGCACTTCAGAACGCCACGGGCCATTTTGGGGTTGGCCGTGCGCTGGTCCTCGTAGTCGATGATGGCTTGCGACGGGTCCACGCCGAACCAGATGCACACGCCAAGGAGCTGCACCGATATCAGGCTGAACGTGATGACCAACTGGGAGGCCGGGGAGATGAACCGAGGGGCGCTGACCGACATCTTGCCCTGCTCAAAAATCCTGTAGATGCGATTCGTCTTGGTGAGCAGCGCTGCGTAGCTTATACTCATGCCGAGGCCCAGGAAAATCCTCCGCAGGGAGCAGATCACCACGTCGGGGGTGGAGATCATGAGGAACGTCGTGGCGTAGCACAGAAAGATGCCCGTCAGCAGCACGTAGCTCAGCTCTCGTCCCGACGCCTTCACGATGGGCGTGTCGTTGTAGCGCACGAAGCTGCCCACCACAAACAGGGTGGCCATGATGCCCAGCACGGCGATGAGCACCGGGATCACCGCCCACGGGGAGCTCCACTCCAGTTTGACGATGGGGATGGGGTCGCAGGCGGTGTTGTTGGCGTTCGGCCGCAAATCAAAGCGGCACATCTTGCAGGTGTACGTGTCCGCCTGGTACTGGTAACCATCGCAGTTCTCACAGTGCCAGCAGCACGGGATCCCCTTCACCGTCTTCTTGCGCTGCCCGGGCCGGCAGGGCTGGCTGCATATGGAGGAGGGCACTTCCTGCGTCGCACCGGGCCACTGCATCTCATCGGTCTGGAGGGGAAGAGTAGAGAGAAGGGAGCCGTTTATTCCACATCACCGTACCAATAATCTTTAACTCATGTATTCGCAATTCTGGAACGCGAACAAGGTGCATGAATACCATGTAATTAAGTAAGTCAGTGTTATCTCTTTTTGACCGGCTCACAATCGTGTTTCACTACTACATAATGCATAATGCATGACACGTTTCAATTAACACTTTGTTGGATTAGTACACACACACACATACACACACACACACTATGTGTGTGTTGAACTTTACAACTGAATAACTTCCACAAGGAATGTTGCACTGACTGGAGGACCCAAGGTCAGTAGAGTATGGTCGGTACTGCAGTCTCATTGCACCAAGCATTGTGTGCCTGTGCTGTTTCACTGACATTTATATTTTATTATGAAGCAGGTTGCTCCAGTATGAAGAAAGGGATTTGGAATATTCAATTATTCACGGAAACATCTGGATGATTTAGAGGATTTGTGTCTCAAAAGATATGTCAATACGTCATTTTTGATCTTCCTTGGGCATCTCTGCCACGCAGGTGATGTTGCCATGTGGGTGATGTTGCTGTGCAGGTGAAGGTGATCAATATGCAGCAGAAACTCAGGCCCTTGATGTCCGCAGTGATGTTAAACCATAACTACAGTTTGTGCATCAACAGAAACAAAGGCCCAGGGGCTCGTGCTTAAATGAGGCATAACAACAATAGGATGAGTACACTTTGTACCTCAAAAAGTTTGGAATTTAAAACAAATTTAATTTGGACACTAAGCACATGTAAAATGACAGTTTTGTGATTCATGCATGTGTTTCTACAGCAAACAAGGAACTAGTGTATTAATGTAACCATGTAATGGTGGCAAATGTCAAAATAAGGTTAAAGCCAAAACAACAACAAAAAGGCTTTTTACTTCATTGGAGACCTACTTTTAGCGGAGTGGGAGAACGCTCTGTGTTGACCCAAAGCATTTGTTTGCCTCCATGCATATGAATTTGAATGACAACCAGGAAGAAGTGCATTTATTATTAATGGTATTCCGCTGACCGTTGCCCTATAAAAGCCGGCGTAAGCTTGCTGCATTCATCATTATCTGTGGTAGCAGTGATAAGTGACGAGTAAGTGAATAGATGAAGCTCTACCTGTAACAACCAAGCATTGGATGCCTGGTTCTTCTTTTGGAGCAGGAATCAAGCATGAACTACAGCCCTCACATCTGGCACTCTGCATGCTCGACTTTTCCAACAATAAATCTTTTCAAAAACATTTTCTGTAACGTTTAAAACATCCATACGTCTAAGTGGAGCTGATCCGTCCAGTTGCCGATGATCTTGTATTCCGTGGTGTTGTTTGTGATCTGGTATTGGTAGATTTCATAGCGTCCAGGAGCGTCTCCGTTCACGTTGAAGACCACTGGGGTTCCAGCAATTCCTGAGGATGAAAGATAAATAAGCGTTGTGTACATTGTGAACTTGGGCAGTTCCCACAATGCTATGAGAGGAAATGAGGCCGCAAGGGAACTCCAGGCGAACGCCGCTGTAGTGTTAATGATGGGAGCGAAATGGAGGTTGACATGTTGCAAAAGTTGTCCTGGTCCTCTGAGGAGGGCCAGTGCTGCTGTGTGCTGCATCATTTCGCACACCAGGCCCCTACTCGGCAGCGCTAACGAAAAAAAACAGGACTGATTTTGATTAGCACTTTGAGGTGTCTTGTCATCCTTGTGCTTTTCTGTTGCCGCGCCAACCTATAAACTCGTTGCAAAGCCACGGTGAAAGGAGACACAAAATTCACAGATCCAGATTCTGCGTCTCTCACGATGAGCGGCGTCTATAGCGCCCCGGCTATTTGCATATTGGCTTCTAAAGGGGAATAGATACCATTAGTTGGAATGCAGCTGAAATGTGTTTCGGGTTGCTCGCAGTGAATATTTGGATTTTGCATACAGTAAATTCTCGAGCTACACCAAATATTCACCGCAGCCACACACCCCCCTCAGGGTTTGCCATCATCTCGGGAGACAAGTTCATGTTCCAAAAGTATAGTCTTCTACCTTTGAACCGAGTGGTTTCTTTTAGGGTGTCGTTCCTCTGATTATAGGTCACAGTATTGATTGTGGTTTGAACCTCTTGAGTCGGAGTTGGAAATTTTTCTCCCTTCTGCAGATGTGTGTGTGTGTGTGTGTGTGTGTGTGTGTCGGGTTTGATGAAAACCCTGTAGGTTCTAACTGCATTAGTGTAATCCTTCTGCATTATCTAGAGGGCACGTCTTAGACAACAGCAGGCGGTCCTGTGCAATTATGAAAATGTTCTAGCCCGTCTCAGCAATACAGGGAATTGAGTGGGATGTATGTTACTGTTAATTTGATCGCCTTAATCGATTAGTTTCACCTCTCGGAAAAAAAAAGGAAAAAGAACTGCGTGTGTCATGCGGAGCCAGCAAACGTTAGCAAACTGGGGTTTTTATCAACCAGATTAGGTTCATTTTCTGATGAAATGCTGAATAGAAAGTGTTCAAAAATAAAAAAGCCAGGCAATTTAGGGGGAGACGCCAACACACACAGACACCCCGTCATCAGCCACAGGTTTATCCAAATGTAGCAAAAAGGGACGCTCACTGTAAGAATGATTAACTTATGTGGTTATACTTACTTGTACTTGTACTTGTACTTACTTATAAGTAAGTAATGTGAAATTCTGTTAATACTTTTGTTGAGAGCTAAACTAACTGGTCTATACTGTGGGGGCTGTGTTTGTACCAACATGCAATTACTAATAAGATGAGAACTAACGAACATGTATAGATATGATACCTATTAACTTGCCTCACAAGAGGTCTAATGTGTTTCCAAATGAATGAAAACAAATCACAACAAGATGCAGTTTCTGCCGTTAAACCTTAAAAAGTAAGCTTCAGTGAATTTGATGGAGGCCTTTGCTGTGAACCCAACAATAGCCACAAAAGGAAACAGAATTAGGACGCTCTGATTTAGAAGTACCACCGTTCAGAGCTGTAATTTAATTCTATTGTAAATGCGAGCTGAGTCGTACGTGGTTATTAGGCGTTTAATTGGGCATAGTTAAGGACTAATGGTGGGGTTGATTAGCTTTTCAGCGTTGGCTCTTTAATGACACTGACCTCAGGAATAGTTTAATCCCTCCCATAACTGTGTCCTCAATTGCTGTGCTGCTTAAAATTCCGACTTCCCAGGACAGGCGGGATCCGTCAGTAGACACATTCTTTTACTCTTGATCCTTTTCACAGGCAGCTTGCATTGGTCTGTGCAGCGAAATACACCCACCATTAAAAGGTATATAAACTGAATAATGGATGATCATGTGACTGAGCGCTTCTTCTAATTTTATCCAGAGCAAATTAGTAACCAAACCCCGTGAAAAGGGGCTGTTTTTAATGGCATCATAAAATCCGACATTACAGCCGACGTTTAATCCCAACACTTTAAACACGGCTTCACAATCTAGTTTAAAACGTCCTCGGGACACTGAGCATCGAGCACATTTCTGACCAGTCGATGAGCATCAACTTCATTTGCACAATCTGCAGTGCTCTGTTTCCCCTCTTTCCCCCTCTTCTCAGTCAGCATGGAAGAATATGCTGGAATCAGGTTTTTGGAACCCTCCTTTCATTCCTTTTCCGGAAAGCGTAAAGAATCGCAGTTCAATTCCATAACACAAGCCTGCTGTACTGTAGCTTCAGTTCAAGCTTCACTCGGATGCTGAAAGACCAGATCCGTCTGCCAAATATGACTTCAAGATACAACTGTAAACCATTTTGTCTTCTTTTTATTCTCCACAAACGAGGACTGACCTGCTTACATAATAATAAGCTGAGCTCAGTGCAGGTAAACAACGTTTTGACTTTGAAGATGGGGCCTACAGTGAAACCCAGGTGAGCGCTGCACCGTCTCCTATCTATATATTCAGTAGGGATGCACAGGAACTCTGCCGAGTTAACCTTTATTATCCCAGGCAATAAAGGTTACATTGACTAAATTAATAAAAAGTAAGCGAGCCATCTGTACTACATTCACATCCATGTTGGTTTTGTTCCTTCACTACTTTGTGTCTCTTACGTAAACCTACAAACCACATCTGATTCACATCTGATAAATCATCAACGGATGTGAGCTTTTTCTCCTCTATCACCTCCTTTTATTTACCAAGAACGTGATCTCTGTTGCTTATCTGTTCTACTTTTTATCTTTCTTTTCCTTTTGTTTCTTTGTATTTTCTATGTATTTACGCTGAGAGCTGCAAAACAGGCATTTTCCTTTTAAGCGTTTGCATACAGCTGTTCACGTACATGTGGCTGTTCAAAAATACCTTAATGGTTAATCTTTGGTTAAGTTTAGGCTCTTAGACCCACTGGATTAAGTAATTATGGTTAACAGACAAATCAATGGTGACTATTGGGGTTGGTAAGAATCCCCAGTGCAGGACATCATCTGTTGCTTCAATCGGCAAACAACTGAACTCTGGACTCATCCAGAAGTTCCTGCTTTTGTTCCTGCTTAACTGTGAATAATTCCTGTGACTGCCCCTCACCCGGCGGTACCACCCAGTAATTATCACACAAATAAATACATCCTGTACTGTATAATCATGTGTGAGGGTGGCGCGGGCTTTCTCACTGCATTCTGTTTGATTGCATAAAGACTTTGACCCTCGATGCATCAGATGTGTAATTAGTTCTCGCCACTGAAGCAACGCTGATCTAAGTGGGACTCCGTTCAGCACACGTTCATGTTGTTTTCTCCAGAGCCAAAAGGTCAAAGTCGAGCTCACGCCACCGTCATGACCTCCATAAATATGCGTCTATGCTTCTACTTTGCCTTTTTTTTTTTTTTTTTCAAAGCTATCGTACCCGTTTCTGTGTTGAAGCAATACACTTGTATAATTATGCGTTATGTGTTGCGACTGTTAATGAACACCTAAATGGAACTTCCTGCCTCCTTGAGCTGAACATTGTAGAGTTTTCCATCTCATTTCAATAAGAGGTCATCAAAGATCAAGAGACAAAACAATTGAGCTGACAAAGCTACGGCCCTTTTTAGTAGATTTTCCCAATAATAAAAATGACTTGGCCAGTCCCACACATGCAGAAACAAGAGTGCGCCCACATTTAATTGTCGTTCTTGTTACCCACGGCGACTGCTGCGGTATAATGTGCTGCTTCAGGTATGAAATGTGTTTAACAATTCAACCAAGATTGGCTCTATAATACTGTCATGCTCCAAATGTTTTTGGGTCATGTGATATGACCGTAGTTAATGCAGATGGAAGGAGGGGCTGTCTGCTTGGCCAAAGTTTACATTTAAATCTTACAGAAAGTTGAAGCCAAATGAGATCTTCTGTTCCAATAAAAAAAAAAAAATACGTTGTGCGGTTCATGCCATATGTATAATAATCTTTTCAAAAAGAAAACTCCCTCAAAAGAACACCATTTCCCATAAGCCCTAGACCCCTGCAGGTTGAATGAAGGGTGAGTGATAACGGTAGGACTGAGAGGATGTTTCAAAATGTCCTCAAACCTAGTTTGGCATTTCCGTTCATTTCTTGTAACATATCGGCCAACGAATTCGCAGATACGCTGCGTCTGCTTTTGGCCGATATCACGGCCGGCTGATTTGCGAGGAGGGTGCCGATTTCTCTTACAATATGTAAATATCCAGGAACGACTTTTTTTATTTTCCTTTAGAAAGATTTAGCAGGTCGATGAGGGGGAACAGAAGCTGTGTGTGTGTGTGTGTGTGTCTGTCTGTCTGTCTGTCTGTGTCTGTCTGTCTGTCTGTCTGTCTGTCTGTCTGTCTGTCTGTGTGTCTGTCTGTCTGTCTGTCTCTGAGCCTCTGAATGGGTGCAATGCAAAGGGACCCACTCCTGAGCGGACGATACTGTGCACTGCGTTAAAGCTCATTTGTGCCCAATGTTGTAACTCCGGTGCACTTGCAGCAGAAGCTCTCTTGCGTGGGCAACACAACGCTGACAAGATAAGGCGGGCGGGAGCACAGCGCCTGCACATCATCAGCAGTGATGGAGACCCGCTGTTCTGCCGCTCATTGTCAACCCTCCTACAGATCTCTGCCTCTGCTCGGAGTCATTTGCATTCAGCGGCCCGAAGCTGCTGTTCATGAGCGCGTTGGTGAAGCCCAAAGGCAAATACGCGATGCGCACACAGTAAAATGGCTTTGCTGCAAATACACTTGATTTCCCGTGATACCATGCAGGCTTTTCCACCTGAGCCTCCCTCGGCGACGAGTACACACCTGTGAAGTTGACATGGCGAATGTACTTGAGCAGCAGCGTGCCGTTAATGGTCTCCATCTTGGGGCAGAGGCCGACCCTTCCGGGGCAGAGGTCTTTGTGCATGTTGTGCAGAGCGTGCGCCATGGCGTAGACGGCGTCGATGACAAACTGGACTTTCCCCTCCTGCTCGTAGGATGAGTCTTTTCCGATCCGCTCGTGGTCTAGAAGGAAGCGAGGACACAGAAATAGCAGCTCTTGAAATTAGTGCGTGAGTGGTAATTGATGGATTCATGAATGCTGCAAAAGGTTATTTTTCTGCACATTATGTCCTCATGCTCTGTTGATCGGTCCATGCAATCAGACAGTCAAGACTAGAATCCTTCATATGACTGACATGATATTACAAAGGGTGCCCCATCAGTGAAAATGTATAACATTCATAACTAGATGTATAAAATCAAGGAAATGAGAGCCTTCAAGAGGCTTGATTACGCAATTGTGAACCCGTTTTTTCATTTGACTATATTTATTTGGAGATTGAAGGTGCTTGTTGATTTATATGCTATATAACGCATCTCCTCATGGTCTCCTGTACTGGAGGGCCCCCAACAAAATATTCTTAATTCAATATTTATCAAAACGGCAAAAAGAAACCGGTTTGATTATGAAGATCTGAGATTGCACCACGTAGATGGTTTGCTTTGTAACCGCTGTGGAAATGAGACGTGAGAGGGGTGGGATTCTACGCCCGAGCACTTCGGTATTCGTTATTAATGAACGCTGTATATTAATCATCAATCATTATCTGAGGTGCTCTAATCAATGCTTGGAAAATTTTGACCGTCAGGCAAGGTTTCAATTAACAGCGTAGCGCTTTTGGTCGCGGATGCCTCGGCAGCAGGACGCCGTCACAGCATTGAGATGCAGCGAGGTCGGGAAAGTTCCCACCTTTTTAGAAGCAGCTTGAGTTGAAACATCCCTTTCAGACATGCGTCTCTTTAGGTTGGACCATCCGCCACGGTAACAATCGGACCAATTTCTATTCCCGCCGCACATAAGTGGAATCAGTCAATATCCAGCAAAGCACCCAAAGGTCACAGGATGAAAACAAGAACCTCACTTTCTAATGACTCCCTCGCACTCACGAAGACGGTGATTGACGGCGGCTTCAACGGCAGCCGGGGACAGAGAAGACAAACGTCTTCTTCTTAGACGTCATATTTCTCATATTAACTCCCCTCTGTTCCCTCTCGCTCTCACAAACGCGGCACAATTACTGTGGCTCTTTGAGGAAATGCGCCGCCACGTCTGAATGAAGCCGTAATGAACGATGACGCGACAAGAAACCTACGTCGTCACTTTGACAGAACGATAACACGTCGCTTTCCTCTTCCCACACGTCGGAGTCGACGGAGAGAAAAGCTGAGGAATAAAAGCTGGTTATGAACTGATTGCATTTTTGTAACGCTCCTTGAGTCTTGTCCTAATTTTACCTTTTTTTCCACAAATTTATTGACTGTTAACCAGAGAGAACACAAAATTACAAAAGGGTTTAACTTAAAGTGCAATAACTGGTTATTGTTTATTAATATGCAACACTGTTTATGTGTTGAATATTCTTGCCTCTTGATTTGTTTTGATTATTATTAGTTATTCGTCTGGAGTGTAAAGTCCTTACTTCTCAACATTTTAAATATAAATAGGAGAACCAGTCTCAAAGAACTCTCAAGTCAGTTCTATCACATATTTTGACGCTATGAAAGCTGTGAAAATATCCTCCCATTATTTTATTTATAACCCTCCCACTGCTTATGTCCTTCTCGATGAAGATTACCATGTAAATATGCACAATCTGTACCTAATTTCTGTGATGTTATTTCACCAAATGTGATGGGAAAGTTGCTTTAGAGACACTGAGCGAACTTTCTAAAAGCATTAAATCCCCTTCGGAGATACCAAAGAGTTTGTCGACACAAGCGGGGAAGCCGAGTGATCGTTGAAGTGTCTGATAACATTTGACATATTTCATTCTCTGTAAATGTCTTGAGAGCTTATAGGCGTCAATCAAAAGCCACCGACACCCTGTCACACGGGTTCATTTGTCTCAGTGCAGTAGATGCAGTCAGACACTTACCTTCCGCTTAGAAGGATGAAGCTTTTTAACGATATTTTCAATGATATCTCTGCTTGAGGGGGAAAAAAATGTTTGGAAGTAATGGAGTAAGTTATATTACAGCAACTCATTTCATCTGCTCATCGAAGACCATCAAAGAATGACCTGAGAGAGTATTTTGAAATTATAGCTTATGTCAATAACGTGCATAATGATAATGTGGAAAGGGTGACCAGAATTAATTAGCTATGCTAATAAGTGTGCTCTCAGGGAAATGGGCTCCAACTAAGCTTTTACAGGTGTTTCTTATTACTGAAATTTGATGGTTTGAATGTTAAGTGGACTTTCTGATAATCCTCGTCTCAAGGTCTCACTGGTTGGTTACAAGCAGTCCTTTCACACAATAAGTGCCACACCAAGCACTTGATCAAATGAAATCTACAACTCGTAAGATGTGGCCATTTCTTTGAATTATTTTTTATCTCAACAGACACTTGGCAGCTTCAAACAGATGAATAGTTTGGGTTTGTCTTGCTGCTATTATCTATATGCTCCCCCAGTGTTTGCTCGCTGAGAAGAGGCCATTTAGCACCAGTGACAGGACTCTGAATGCTTAAGCAGCTTGAGTGTCTGTAAATGTGCGCTTCAGGCAAAGTGAGGCCCGGATAGACAGTCTGTCTCCTTTTGTGACTGTCACAGCGTCTCTCGTTTCAACGTGTTAGTCCCTCTCGTCCACGCAAAGACGTACAAAGACATGTGGTCCATTAATGGCGAGATGCCTTCGGTTTTCCTTCACTGTCCAAAGTCATGTAGGTCAGAAAGAACTGTGTTCTGGGCTTTTGGCCCAGTTCACATTTGGCAATGAGTTAGCAATATGTGCTTTTAAACCAAAGTTTATGACCTCATAAAAGTGTTAGATGTGAAGAAGTTTTACGTGCGTGAACAGGTACGCCGTATTTCAACAGAAAAAGAAGGAGCCACAAAATGAGATTGAAGATGATTTGATTTGCCCCGTTTTCTCCCACCTGGTCTTTTGGTATTCAAGGCAAAAAAAAAAAATGTCTGTGAGGAGAAATGCTTTTGCTGACGTTTAAGACTTGCTAAAGCAGGAAAAGCACAGGTGGCAGCAATCTCAGTCTCCATTCACGGGGAGAAGAACCACCGCAAAGGCTCGTGCCTAAATTGAATGGCAGCAAACCATTTTTTTAATGTTTGTACTCCCGACACAAATAAAAGTTTTTCCATTAAGCTGTGTATCTGACTGACTCAGAAAAAGAGAAGGAAGTTCTCTATTGACACTGGGAACATGGACCCCCTCTCCCTGTGCGTGTGTGCGTAACTCTACATGCACGGTGTGAGAGGGGTGAATATTGGCCCAAAGGGAGAGGTTGTTGATGAGCTCATAGTTTGTCTGTGCAGGTTGCACCATGTTTGGGGCTTTGTTGTGCTTTTTATGTGATGGGTTGTGGAGAAAGTCAGTAAGCTAAATTAAATCCTATCACCTAAACTGTTTGCCTTCTAAGAATGTCTTTGGTTGACCTCTGCCCTGTTACAATGTCTATATATTACCCTAGAATGTTGTCTTTTGCCCATATTTCCGTCAGGTGTAATATGACTGGAAATCCCTTTGATCTTACATTTGTTGTGGTCTAATAAATCCTGAATGAAGTTGTGCCTTTTGATATTTAGTTTTTGTTGCTGTCCTCTTTCCTGAAAACCCAAAGAAATACCAGGACACACGCTGTGTGTTCACACTCTATTCTTCTCCGTCGGCTGATGGATGGAATCAAAGGACGGAAACTGGATGTGGCGATGTGCTGCTCCAAGGTCAGCAGTGCAAAGCGAGCCTCGGCGTGGATGAAAATCCTGGCGATTTTGAAAGAACACGATAATCCAGAATGCTCCGGGTCACACTGTTCGCCCGGCTCGATGTGTTCCTTTAAAAGAAGACGTTGTCAGGTTTTCTTCTGTGTGTCCTTTCCGTTCGAGGTAGAAAGAAGCTAAAATGTAATTAGTTTAGGTAATTGTATAGTGCTAAAGTGCTGCAAATAAATCATTTATAATATATTTTAAGTAAATTAGAATTTGAGATTTGATTTCTTTCTTTCAAACCTCTTATTGGACGTTTCTACCTTTTGTAAAATATTAAGATTTCCTACAACCTTGTTTTTCATTTGCGTAAATATCTTTTTGATTATCATTATGATATTGATTAATAAGTTATTTATAAGTTATTTATTAATCCAGAATATAATTATGAAACTAACCAATTATGAACCATTATACCAACCATCATAGTCGAGCCCTTGTCAGACGTATCTTCTGGCTTCTTTCACCTCTGGTGGAATTTGAAATCCTCAGTGTGGTTTCTGTGTAAATCGAATGTGCAAGGCTGACCCCTCTTGTGCCCTCCTTGTTGTTTCCCCCCCCCAGTGTTTAACCTCAAAAAGCAGTGGGCAATCCTCTGAGGCAAAGTCTGCAGAAATGAAGACACACGGGGAGTGTGCATGGAGGGCTCAAGAAGCCTGCTCGAGGCCCCTTAAGCACTTGACAGCTGTAAACCCCAAACAGCCTTTCCTGGAATGTGCCTTCACGTCTGAGAGTCCTTGACGTTGGGATCGAGCCAAACTTTGCTTGACAGCCATAACAAGCCCCTCCCATGTCTCTTGTTCTAATTAAGGGCAACTTCACCCGCTGGACAGAAATAGATCCAGTGCTTGTCATCACGGGCCTCCAAAGACACGGCGGGTCAGACGAAGTGGACTTATTGTTGCAGCCGGCGAGCTACGGATCGCAAATGAGTTTAAACAGTCTTACGCGTAATTACAGGAGTCATCTAAGCTGGGACATTAAAAAGAGGAATCTTTTCCCCGCAGCTATCACACAGAGCGACGAGTCCAAACCGCTGCAGGTCGATCACATCCACCACAGTGAAGAAATCTGCTGGGTTCTGGCTTCTCTTTCACTCAATCTTCGATGTTTGCAAGGGAGAGAACATTGCTTAGTTGCACTCGGTCTCCTTGGTGTTTTCAGTAAGCAATGGACATCAGACAATTGAGCAGGCAGGCAGACTCGTGGATGACTCATGTCTGCAGGGACGCGCAGCAAACGAGTGACTCGAGCCTGTTTGCTCCATTCAAATGTTGAATCTCGTGTGTGTGTGTGTGTGTGTGTGTGTGCTGGAATGCCGTGAAGCGGAGGCAGTGCACCTGCAGCCATCGCTGCCAGCAGCGACACAGAACACGCTGATGGTGGTAAACGCTGCAGGGAACGGCTGGACTGTTGGCAAGTGGCTTCGGCCTCTCCAGCATGCTTCACATCTTGGAATAGAACAAGTGCACCACTAATGAATGTCCTCGCAGGCTTTTATGCAGCATCACTTTCAGCCCTGTAGGTTTGGGAACTTTCATTTTGAGGTTTTCTGCTCAGCCATAAATCATTGTGATTGATGAGTCGTCCCTGCTCGTTTTCTGACAAATGCAACTGTAATGGACAATCTCGTGCCATGAGCCAGTGTAAACCTTTTCTATTATTATAAAATCTCTCTCTTCAGTAGTTCTCCGTGGTATCAGTCGATTCTCCTTGGAGGTCCATGTTGTTTGGTTCAGCAGGATGAATGTACAGTGAGTTTCTGAGCAAATCAGATCAGCAAAACTTAAAAGTAACGGTTAGCATCTGAACCAGTAAGAAGCGTTTGTATTTTCTCAGGCTCACAGGTTTAATTAACTAGGTTTCTGGGATTTCAGTCGTTCTTCGGTGGAAACCAAAACCATGTTGTTTCATGAGACTTCATGATCGAAAGGCATCTCAACAGACACTTCATAGCACAGCTTTACATTGGAGATGTCGAATGATCTAGAAGAAAAAGCTCTGTAGTGACGTGGAATTAACAGTTTGGTTAACCAGTTGAGCAACCGTAACCAAACCTCACAGGCCTGTCGAGCTTTGGATCTGTCCACATTCTGACGAAGTGTGTCTGTGGGAGCAGTCGCCACTTTGGCAGGCGCCATCTTGGTTTTTGGCGAGCCGACTGTCCAAAGGTAGAGGCTTAACAGCGGCCGGGTGTCATTCTCATGTTAAGTGAGACAAAGCAGCCCGGCCTCCCTCCCTCCCCCCCCCCGGGTCCCCACAGGCAGAGGACTGGAGGAATGACTCTTCATTCTTCAAAAAGTCTTCACATTTTAAATTACTTTTAAATGATGTTATTTTCATTTCTTGTACTTTGCTATGCCACCATTCAACTTAATGATCCTTTTGGAGGATGCAGTTTAGGGATTGTATTTTATTGTGGCACACTGACTGTTGCTTCTCTTTATGATTCAGTACACTGGGTGTATTTTGACAGGTTTTGACCTTTCCTGGCACATGAGATAGTATTTCTGTATTATCCGCACAGAGAAATGATCTGTGAGTTTGTGGTTACATTGTACAGTAGTTCTGAAGCCACAAAGTCGATCTCCGCCTCGAGGGCAGCAAATACAAGTACACTGAAAGAAAGAGAATTAAACATCTGCACCGTGTTGCTTTCTACACTTTAACGCGTCTACCATGGTTACTACCATGCCGTTAAGGTTCCTGAGTCTGTGGCCAGGGGCTTTCATTGTGCTCTTAAAATCGCCCTAACCACACAATTATTACAATTACGTGCCCATCTGATTGTGTTACTGCTGTAATAAAATATTTATTTCAATCCCGGGTGCATGATTACACCTAAAATGTACTCTTTCCTACTTATTAAATAGGTTGTTAGAAAATGTCTGATTTGTACAATTCACTAATATTAGGGGGAAAAAGTGTGGACAGGAAATGATGGCGCTTGCGAAGGGAACAATGAGAGGCTGGTAATAGTACTTGCAAAAAGCTCTCGAGATAAATGATTGCACCTCTTGTACAAAAAGACCCCGGAGACTACTAAGAAGAGAAAGGGCGTGCTGCAATTAAGGCCAGGAGCAGCCACCATGACAACTGATACGTGAAGGCATTATTTAAGATTACGTATTCTCCTGAAACCGGCTAATGCAGATTGTTGGAAGCGTATCTCTCTTTCGCATGAGCACACGCTGTTGTTTGGAGAGGCGGCAATTAAATCTCTGCTTAATTGTCTAGCTTCGCCTATTCGTGTGTTGTTCCATTTTAGTTTTTGCTCTGCTGTGGTATTTGATGACATTTCGAGGGTGCAGGGTTAGGGATACACATCTAGTTATTCTAATCAAATCAATAACCTGGAAGTTGTTTCAGGACTTCAGCGTACAAAGCGACAATAGGCAACATATGCTGCATGTGAAGTAGACATAGTTCAACACTATTGGACGTCCGTTAACAACCGTGTTTTTGTAGGTGAATGGTAGAATTTATTGGTTGGCAACTAGTATTTTTGTTCAGATTTGCTGGCATGATTTTCTCCCATTTGGGCATTGTGAGCTGCATTATTAAATATCATTTTCTCTTTTTGACCTTTTGATAGTGGGAGCCTCCATAAAGGAATGTGCTGCAGTGTTTCACATTGGATAACATTCTCACAATTTGAGTTGGTTTATGATGCCTGAAGAGATTCAAAAGAGACGGAGGCGTCATTGATTCATATTACGGCCGTAGAGACCGTGTGGGGGAGTTTTCTTGCTCGTGTTCTAAATTTCTACCCTCTCCTGGAGATTAATAGCGACCTCTTCTTTCCCCTTTTGCACTGTTAAGGGCCGTTCCGGACCAACGAAATTCCCAGTGGAGCAACACTCCTACAATTTGCTGGTTTAAAAGCTCAGTTGATTTAAAAGTCTGCAAAGAATCACTCAAAAGCACCACTTTAAAAGTAGTTTTACCAGAAATAAGTAATTCAGCACGAAAAAGTATTAAAAAAACAGCAATAGAAGAAATCATTTAAAACGGCCGATTAGTCGACAATCGAGTGGAAATATCCTCCGCCTGAAATGTACTTAGACTCATGTGTAGACCTGAGTAATATTTGATGTCTCAGGCCTGAGCCAGCCGCGGCCCCACAAGCCAATCGGCTTCCTCCAAATCAGTCAGCCGGCCCCACTTGAGATGCAGCGTTGCACTGCATGCTGGGACGAGACAGGCCTGGAGAGCCTACTGATTTTAACTACCCGTAAGCTTGTTTCTAATGGGCTGATTGAATTTACTATTGATTATCTTTCCAGCGGTGGCGGAGGTCTGTGATTGCCGCCGTCGCCCGCTGCAGATTGAAGTCGCCAACAGACGAGTGATGTGAACATTCATTTCTCTCGGACAAAATTAGAGATTCTCATTCACTTATCCACACCGATTAGCTTTAACCTGAATTAGAGGAGCGTGATTGTGTTCTCCCTGATGACAAATATATTTACTGATGCACACCAAGCGCGCACACACATAATGTATTCACAGAGGAACCAATCCATCTACTTGGTCATTGATTGAGTGCACTCCGTTGGCCGAGACTCACTTGTGCACTTCTTGATGCCGGATCCTTTCTTCACTGCGTGCCGGCTGAGCTTACACTGGAAGTTATTCTCCCAGAACTCCGCAAACCAAATATTCCTCCGGTTGTTCTCCAGCGTCCGGCTGATGAAGTACCGATCAAAGCCTGAAAGAAATGAGACGCTATTACAATTAAATCAATCAGGTTTTTACATTTGAATAGGCTGAGCAACATGTAATGTGTTATTAACTGAAAACTGGTGATGATTCAGAGTATTTACTCAAAGCCCAGCTAGAACAGAAGCTTTGCAATCAATTATATCGGCAATGAGTGGTTTGCGCTTAGCTTAGCAGTAAAATAGTTTAATGAAATCACATATTTAGAAAGAACGGGGGGCAGATTTATTAGGAATCTGCTGGGGTATCATTTTATGGTTTACTGTAGTGAAACGCGGTTATTTCACTCTAGGTAGAAATTATAAACCGGCACACAAGTGACAATGAGCATACACCGCACTGCATGATGGGAAATGTTGCCCGTATAATAGTCTTAAAGCCTAAATTAACACCTCAAGTTATGTTCTACTTTATTAGGTGTCTTTGAGCTGAGAAAGAGAACGAGCACCGGGCGCAGTAAAGGGGCAACATTTGATACAGAGATTCTATCCACGCAATAAAGATCTACTATATCTACTATCTACTACTATATATGAGAACCAGCATAATGTCCATGGTGGAAACCGTAGACAGCCAATCACATCACTGCTCAACGTGATGAATTCATTAGCAGAAACAAACAAACAAATAGCCCGATTTGGCATGAGTACCTTTTATGGATTGCCGTTTTGGCAGAATGGTGACGGCGCCTTCTGCCATCTCCTCCTGGTTCAGTATTGGGGAGATTTTGGAGCCCCAGCTGTCCGACCCCACCCAGATGAAATGTCCCGTCTGATTGGCCTTCTTGGCTGCCTGCAGGAGCCGCCTTCGGGACAGAGGAGGAGAGCGGTGTGATTGTACCACAGGACATCACCATCTAACTAGAATATTCTATTCTGAGTTTGGACAACGTTCCACGAGGCACTTGAATAGAATCGATAAGCCATCGCGCCGCCAAATCCCAGAGGGGTTCCTCTCGGCCGCCGCAGAATGACACCCGTGTCACATTTGTCCGGGCTTAATGCCAATGGAGGGGAGTTTGGGCAGCTGCTAATAAAAATGATCTGCCATAGCAGCATAGCTACATCAAGAAGGAAACATTGAATATTAACCCAGCCACCTGGCATGTGATGTGAAGCATTACCCGCCCTCATGTCTCCCCAAAGGTGCTGGAGCACAAGATAAATATTACGATCAGTTTTTTGTTTTTTTTCTCGGGCGTTTGCTGTTTCATCGTCTCTCATGAGACTTTGTAGTTGCATAAAGGATTTGTATTTTTTGTAGTATGTGGAACAGTTTGTCTCTTTACATTAGTTTTATGACCTCAGGGACACATAGTTGATTGATAATGATTTTTCTCTGAGTCTTGTCTTCAGTAATTTTGTGAAATGAGCACGTCTCAAGATGCAATTACGGGCTCCGTGCTGGGAAAATAGAAATTGTTTTTTCCCCATCAGGAGATGGGAGACATAAGTAGACAGGCCAAGTTCAACACAATGTGAAGCGCTGTGTCTTATTCTCCACATTTCACTTTCACCATAACAGCAGGTTCACCTCCGTACTCATTAGACTCTTACCAGTGAGTGCCAAAAGAATTCAAATGACAAAGGCAATATGTGAAAAATAATAAGATGAAGGAATAAAATTTCACATCACTGAATCGCACAATAAGACCATTTAATTAAATTGAGTTTAATGTTGTGAACCCATGTTGTTTACCCACAGAGCAAACTGCAAAGGAAGAACGTTCTGGACCCACCCGCTCAGATCGAGAGAAGCAAGCCAACTAAAATAAGTAATTCTCTGCTCATTATAAAGCTAAGACCAGGCAGTATATTTATATACGGTTCGAGTAGGAAATCATAGCGCTCCATCAGAACAACTCAAGGCGGTGATTCCTTCTGGAGACTATCGGGGGCTTTTATTAGGCTCCTGCCGGCTCGGCCGGGCCGGGTTCAAGGAGAGAGCAGTAATGCAGCGCCGAAATCCTCCTGGCCTTCTGTAATTACTTTTTATCCAGACTATTAGCTGTTATCAGGACCGGATTAAGTCAATAAGCTCTGGGACTTCTGCCCGGGTCGTCATCAAAAGGCCGCCCGCCCGAATCACTGGCCTCTTCCACCAGGAATACACCGGCCTCCTGACCGGTCGCTGCGTGTGTGGATGCAGCCTACGACTAATCACCTCATCCTCAATGCAGACGATCCGTCTTCATAATGGATGATGAATTTTAATTGCGCTCTCCTCCCAGCAAGGAAAGCAGGGCGCTTGGGGATTTAGCTTTTGTATAACGGCCAGAGAAGATACCTGCAGGAAGGGCTATGAGGAGACACGATGTGATTGGATGGAATGATTGCTCGAGGACATCGATCATCAATGATTTGGCTCTTGATGATTTGAATTGTCGTTTTTATTACTCAGAAACCATGTGAACAATTTACACGGTTTTGACATTTACATCTCTTAACGCTACACCTCAACATTTCATAACAGTGTGCTCTCTTTAAGGAGATTCATTTGGTGGTTACTGCACTCACCTGATGTCGTCCTCATTGGCGAAGATGATGACCACCCGGGCGTTTGGGTTCTCACTCAGCCTTCGGATGATCTTGTCGAACTCCCCGGTTCGTGGTTCACGGGGTATTTTCACGGACTGGGAAATGCACAGACCACCTAATGGGAAGACGAAAGGAAGGAGAAAAAAAGAAGAAAGAAAGGGCCTTTTTACTTCTGCAAAGCAAGCAAGCGTCTCATCAGCAGAGACTCTTTTTTTTTGACTCAAAAAAAGATTTGTTTTTTCTTCTTCTACCTTGCAACAAACACAAATCTTCTTCAACCCGCTGGACATTTTTTTAAATAATATGTGCACAGGGGCCATATTTCAAAGCACGAGGGCCGCAAGGTGTTAAAAAAAATGTCTTTCCCCCGACCACAGCGGGCAGCTTTTGAGACGTGGAGCCCCATCAATTCAGTTTACGGTGCTGCCGGTGAGACGGGCATTTGGAAGCATTTGGACGTCTATAAATTGCGTAATTGAAAACTTCCCCCATTTGTTCGTAGTCATTTTTCTTAGTACAGAGCTTGCTATATTTTGTGCGAGGCAACAAAAAAGAATATGATTGTCTACATTTCATCTTCTTTTTGCCTGAAGATCCGGACCGTTAGTTGGGACGGCAAATAAACACACAGCTTTACCTAAATATCAGTACAATCTTATTCTGGTAAACCCAGGAGCCTTTTCCAGTGACATGGATTTCTTGAGTTAGCTTCTTAGCTTGTTAGCCAGTGGCGTGCACAATACCTGCAGTGATTCGCAAAGGGTCCGTTGTGACAGAGGCCTCGGCCTCTTCCAAAAGCCTTGGTGCTGAACGCGGGTCTGGAGGCAGCAGTGGACGTCCCCTGGTTACCAACAAAGGCTTTGTGATTCCCAGTGCAACGTTTAACGCTGTGGCTCTGCCAAAATGCCACCGAGATTGTGTGCATGCTAATGAATTTCCCTTTGGTGGCAGAGCACAAAGCCGTCTCGTTGGCCAATCGATGCAGTTCACTTCAGGGCAGCCAGACTCCCACCGTGAAAACAGACACCGCAAGGCCGGAAAACTGGGAATATGAGGAAAGAGCCGTGGGGGGCGGCGGGTTGAGTTAACGATGACGCGCCGCTTAGCTCGCAGGGACAGGATGTCGCTTTGGGTTAAGTGAGGGGGCTTCAGTCAGCGACCTGCAACATTGTTCTGATAGCAGTGCACTGAGGATTCATTTAATGAGGCTCCCATTCTCTTCAAATCTTTTCCTTTTTCCTTGTTTTTCGTTTTAGTAGTTTTTTCCTCAAGGCTGCGTGTAACGGTTTCCTGCGGTGGCTAATACGTCCACTCACCTCGTTCATGGATTCGCGCTTCCTTCACTCGAAGGGTGAGAGAGATTCCTCTGTCGGTTGTTGGGGGGATGTTTCCTTTGGAAATCAAGCAAGACCTTTTCCCCTTCGTTTCATTACAGTTGCTTGAACCTTTCTTGAACCTCACATGAGTATCAAAGTTGTCACAGATTGGTGGATAGTTTGGGATTTTAACATACATGAACTGGGGCGAGATGAATAATTGAAACATACAGTATAAACAAACCTCCTCACACATATTTCAGACCATTTTTAGCCTGAGTGATATGATGATGACAGGGAGATGGGAAAGTATGATTAAACAACCTCTAATAATAATCAGTCATAGTTTTTGCAGATTCCTCAAATCTAACCTGCATTTCGTACTAATCAAATGCCTCACTGAGCTCAATTGTATTTAAATTCCAATTCATATGAAATCTTTTCACTCCACTCCAACTGTGAAGGACTTGTGTGTAGTGTGTGCCGATATGAGATATACCTGCACACTTTGATCAATGCACATGACGACACAAGGAGAAAGAGACCATCGCTGTTAGAGCTGCATTTGACAAATGACTGGCGCGTGTGCTATAAATAGCCAGTCGCGTTCAAGAGAAGGGAAATGCCGCCGGGTGTTGCCCATATTTGTGAACCTTTCGATGTTGTTAGCTGAGGCTGAAGAAGAGCTTTGCCTGTCTGCCTCTCCGTGTCGTCGCACAGACTCCGCCGATACCGACACAAGGGAAATCTAAATGCAGCAGCTCTCAGCGGCTCTATCGATCACTAGATTCTGTGTCTCACTGCTACTTCAGTTCCCCCCAACATCTGCTGTGTGGACGCAGAGCGATCATCCTTTTCCTTCCTCCACTTCCCAAACAACAACCAGCAGCAGGCCGCAGCACCGCTCGACCTCCGTGGAGAACCCCAGGAGGAAACCCCCCCCCACACTCCAAGTATGGATCCCTTATTTCGGTTTTGTTTTCATAACACACACACACACGGATGCGTGCCTTCATAATAATATGAGGGTTTCACAGTATTTGCACAGTGAAATATCGCTCACAGGGTTGATCCGCCTCCGCCAAGCTGCTCCAGAGGACGTTTTCATCCAGCCTAAGTGGCTTTTAATTGGGCTTGGTAATTATAGGTCTTCCTCATTACACATTTTATAATAATTTTAGCTAATGAAACAATTCTCTTAAGAGGTATCAGATTTTCAATAAAACACTTTGCTGGTTTCCATTTTACGATCGGACAGGATGTAATTAGGGAGAGAGCCCCCCCTCTTGTCGGCACACCGCTTCTCACCAGTCTACCCTCACTGAACCAGACCGCCACCTAAAGGCACTTAACAGGAGACAATTATAAAGCACTTCATTACAAATGTGTAGCAGCCATCAAACTAATGTTACGTGTTTTGTGTCCGTTGATAAAATTACAATTATGACCTGAACATTATGCAGATTAAGAATCAGTCACAACTGGGTTGTTTCTCGCAAAGTGAAGAAAGTAAACATTCACAGATCCCGATGTCATTGTCCCAGTAACCTGTTGCAGCGCTCTGGCACCCGAAGACACTCTCTGATCTACTGGTGGAGTGAGGCAGCACTTAACATCTGAGCATCTTAAAAACGCCTCTAAAAATATCCGTTGCTGAGGAGACAGTGAGCCTCTCTCTCTGCTTCCATTGTAAGGCGCATAGATCTAAAACAACCTGAATGTTGCTTCTACAGTAGAGACCGGAGTAGTTCCTTTGGCAAGCCGATGATTTGTTTAGCAACAAGCATAAACAGTGACTGATCACTCAGCCGGTTTGAGCCGCACGCAGCTTTGAAACTCGCCTCTGCTTTGAACAGCAGCGCTGTTCCATCGATGCAGTGGCGCGCCATGTCTGGCCGACCGGCCAACGCAAAGAGCCTCTGTAGGTGTGATGACAGCGGTTCATGTGGAACAAGAACTCACAGAAAGGAAAGTGAACCAGAAGCAGCTGAATGCAGAGATTAACAAGATCACCTCCGAGTTGGTAAACTGCAAACCAGTTGATGAACCGGCGTGTTCCCCGGCCTTTCCTCCAGTGCATGCTGGGACACGCTCACGCTCCTCAGAGGGACGGGAGACAAATAGAGTTTTTGTAGGCGTGAAAAAATTATATTAGTAAAAACCAGACCCATCCCCGGTTGCAAAATGTTGAGCCGCAGGATATGTGCTTTGTTTTAATATCGGCGCATTAGCTCAAGGTCGTGTTCTTCTTTCCTCCACTTTTTATTAGACATACAGCTGCTAGTGGGTGGGAGGGAGATACTGGGGAATGTGTGAAAGACAAGGCTCGAATCATTAGGGCGGCTGACCCTGAACAGAAAAGTCCTCGGTCCAGTTCCCTCCTCCAGTAAACCCCCCCAAACCCCTGCTAAAGTGCCCCGGAGCAGGACACTAAATCCCCCACAATCCCTGCGGCGCTGTTCAGTCGCTGACTGTGTGCTCCTACCTCACTCTGCAGGTCTGAGGAGACGGAAATAAATGATGTTTTTTCCCTCAGGGGATCAATTAAGAGTAGAATATGTAATTATAGTTCTCCTGAGACACACAGATAGCCCTTGAATGTGGAGACAATAACTGACCTCCTCCTGCCTGGAAAAAAAAAAAAAAACAAAACGCTATAATGGGTGTTCGAAGCACAAACTACTTGCTTTTGAAATGTGGTGGTGAATACAATTTATGGGAACCACATGAATGGCTTTCATATCGGAGGGCAGAAGATGAATGACCCCAATTCCACCTGCGATCGCTGTAATTTGTCTGCATTATGCCGAACATGTGTGCCATTTATCCACGACCCTCGTCATTTCACCCAAAGAGGGCTTTCCATACAGCGGTGCTCCGTACACACAGTATATCATTTAAAATGAATTTGAAACAGGTGTATCTGTCCGAGTGGACCTGGCGACGTCATCGGCGACTCGCTGAGTGCTCGTTGTGGTCGTTGTTGTTATCGGAGAGGCTTTGGGCCTGATGTTCTGCTGCAGAGATCAGGCTGGACTGTGGTTCAACACACAAACACATGCTCTCTGTCCCCCTGGGCTCTGCCCATGTAAACAAGGGTCTGCAGGAGAGAAGACATACCGAGGACCTGGGAAAGGTACGTTTTCATTATGTTTTAGGGATAACCGTATTGAAAATGTTTCATTTAGTGTGTTTGAATCTATCTATGCGTTTACCGATTTGTTGGCCCCGTCATTCGTAATTAAAATATCTACCCAAAATGTGCTCCGGATACAAATTCAACACGAAAGCGAGAGGCTTTTTGAAACATGTTGCACCACCTTATAGTTCAAATCAATTCACGGTGCAGACGCAGAACTTCTCCCTTGCTGCTTGGTTCTATGACATTAGAGGACAGTGAAGTTGTGAAGTTTAGGAACAGCAAACTGGGTGTGGACGTCTATTATTATTATTATTCCATTGGCTGATGATCAGTGTCCTTTGATTTTCCACCAGCTCTGAATTTAAATGGTAATAACTACAGAACACGTAGTAGCCGTAGACGTGTAAAACTCGCCGCACACTTCAAAGACACTTCACGTCAAAGCAGCAGAGATGCAACAAAAATGAAAAGGAAGTTATTTTCTATTTTGACATCTATGATGTTTACAAGAAAGATTAGATCAAAGGGGACGATGATTGCTTGGATGCATCTTCCAATAAGTATGCAGCCAAGAGGATATCTGAAACAAAAGCACACGCTACAATAATGATCCTACCCTGAAAGTAATCCAGGGAAAATGGTTATGAAATGGGTGCA